GAAAAATAGCTTCAGTAATTGCTTATGTAAAAACCTATAAAATACAGGTACAGTTTAAGTGCATGTCACCAATTCCTTGTGGAGCTTGATTAGCGGGAACCCGAATGTTTCTACTCCTTTTCTCGGAAATAAGAAGTGAGTAGGAGCATCATATACTCAATGTCTCATTGTCTTGCATGCTGCGTGCCTAGGATGCGTGCTTCCTCCCCAGTGGAAAGCAAGGTGGGCTGTTGATGGCTCTTTGGACTCCATAAAAGCCTTAACAGGTCTGTTTGTGACCAGCTAATCCGAGGCCTGGGGAGTGCAGATGCTTGGTCCAGGACTGGGCTGCCTTACAGATGATAGACTAGCAACTGTGGGTCACTCAGAGCAGCAACCCCAGTTACACAGATTGTGGTCACCGGAACATGGAGGACTACAGGTGCTTTTGTTTCTTTGACAACAGTGGCTGCACATTAGAAACACCTGATAGTCCAAGCCTCCTCCCAGAAAGCAGTTGGGTTGGGCCCAAGCATCAGTAGTTCTTAGAAGCACCCAGGCCCTTCTGCTGTGTGACTTGGGCTGAGGACAGTGTCTTTAGGAGGTCTGGCTCTTTGGAACCCCCGCACCTTGAGAAAAAAGCATGAGTGAGTAACGAGGCTGTGGGACCCTTACAAGTGTTGTGCTATGAGCGGGCCCTGCACGCTGGGTCTGTTGACTGTTGTGAAACAGCCAGGTGGGAACTTAGGAGAGCACCGTGGTGCGGGCTGCATGGCCCAGAGCAGGCCCTTCCACCTGGACAGGAAGCCTGGTCTGGAAAACAGCCTGGCTCTTGACTTGTGTAACTTTCACTTCTTGGAAGTATAAAATGAGGTCTTTTTTGTTTGCTTCCTCTTGAGGACTAACCTTTCAGATCAGCTATTTGTTAACCTTGGCTGCACATGGGAATCACCTGGGGAGCTTGCACAGCCCCGGCTCCTGGGCCCGCCCCTAGGGATGCTGATTTAACTGGTCAGGGGTATGGCCTGGGTATTGGGATTCTTAAGCGCTCCCAGGTGACTTGCAGCCAAGGTAGAGAACCACTGTTCTAGACATTTAATATGAGGTTCCAATGTCATTAGCCAAGGACACAGAAACTTACCAGCAGTTGGGAACCATGCAGCGCAGGAGCGGGGGCAGGCTGTCTTGAGTAGGGCACATAGCTGTCATGGATGGATGTCCCTGGATAGGGTCTTGCTGGACCTGAGCAAACAGCCAAGTTCACATAATGACATTTCCCTTCTCCCCCTTTTTAAAAGTCAAAATTTAGCCAGGTGCTGTTCCGGAAGATCCCACCCTAACCACCCGTGTGCTTTCACTTAAGGAAATGTTTGCAAACATGGAACTCGCTCCCATCTCAATACCGCTCCTCTCAGCCTCCACTGTGTTCTGAACATGCTGGCCTTGCGGTTCCTGGAATAAATAGCGAAGCTCTTGGCGCCTGCACGACTTAGCATGAGCTGTGCTCTGCCTTCATGGAATGTTCTCTTACCCCCTCCCCCACGCTTCTGCATACCTGTTCGCTCTCATCCTGCCCTTCTCAGCTTGTCCTTATATTTCTCAGAGAGACCTCCTCCTGCCTACATTATTTTCTGTCATGCAGGGGTTTATTTTCTGGTGACACCACAATATATAGTAATTCTCTTGTTNCACAGAGTATAAAAAAATCAGATTGCCTCTAGCAATGTCTAATCTTCTAACTGCATATCTTCTCCTTGAACAAAATATCCTCAAACATGTTTCTCCAACTTCATATAGGAGTAGAACATCACTGAAGCAGCTGTCAGCCTGGTGTGGGCTCAGCTCTGGGGACAGTCGGGCAGCCCGGCGAGTTCCCAGTAGAGGGCAACGAGAACTGACCAGAGAGGCCTGCCTGTCCATCTTGGACCGCTTCCCCAGGGCCCTGGTGTGGGTCAGCCTGTCCCTGCTCCGGAAAGGCAGTCCCGAGCCGCACACCATGATCTGTGTCCCAGCCAAGGAGGACTTCCTCCAGCTCAGCCAGGATCGGCTCTACTGTGGGCCCCAGGAATCCAAGCACAGCGACCCATTCAAGAACGAGATCCGGAAACAGAAAGAGAAGAAGAAAACAGAGAAGAGGCGGAACCAAGGGCGCACTGTGTCTCAGGGCCTGGCAGGGGGGCACCTGATAGCTGGGCACCAAGCTCCCACCCTAGGCTTGTGGTCAGGCCCTCTCCCTGATGTGACTTCTCACTGCTCCAGGGTTCTCCTTGGCTTTGTCACACAGGGAGATTTTTCTATGGCTGTCGGCTGTGGGGAAGCCCTGGGGTTTGTTAGTTTGACAGGCTTGCTGGATATGCTGTCCAGCCAGCCTGCAGGGGAGAGGGGCCTGGTGTTACTGAGGCCTCCTGCTTCTCTACAGTACCGATTTGCGAGAATCGCTGTTGAGGTGTGAGTGCCGTTTCCGTCCTTGCAGGGTGTAGATGGTAACTGCATTTGCCGAGCCCCACAGTTGGAGAGCTTTGTTTTCATCATCTTCAGTTCCAAAATATCATGTGAAATTTCTTGGAAATGAGAATTTAAAAAAATTATGTATTAATATTATGCAAATGGATGAAATGTTTACATCATTCCAGCAATCTCATTGATTTCCATCTTTCCCTGTCCTTGCTGAATACTTTAAAATTATGTGGCATATATAGCTAAAAGCTTTTCTGTTATGATTTCTTGGTCTGTGTAATTCTTGCTGAAAATAATTAGAAGCTCTGTTTTCTCATCCTCTTTTTTTAAATTTTTTATTAAGAACAAAGGGCTGTCAAGACTATTTGAAAAACCTTGTAGTCATGCGATAAGCAACACTGGTTGTTTAATGATTTGATTGTTACAAGAGGAAAAAAGTATAAACACCTGGCCTTTGTACATGAAATGTGGCCTTGTCTGGGCCATGTTCAATTCTGTTCAACCCTTTATACTGTAAAGAAGGAAAGCATGGGAAATTTATTGCTGCCTCTTTTTAGGCAGGCTTGGCTTATGCAAGAGTATTGGGATGGAATTAGAATGGGGGTCTATGATTTTGTTACCCCTGTCTTTTTTATTGTTGACCAACAATATCTTAGGAGTTATTTTAATTTTTCTGTGCTTTTTGTTTCTGCAAAGAACTTTTCAAAGCCATAGAGGAGCATTTCTCAAAATATGTCCCATGAAATGTGTTAACCTAAAAAAACAAAAAGCAGAGATTCCATGGTCAGATTGACTTGGGAAACTCAGGGTTTAACACAGGTAAGCCTTTCTTTTTAAAGGGCTTGTAGAACTTACCATGTGATTTTGTACATTGTGAATCTCCAGGAAGTGGATAATAGTCTACAGTATTTTCTAAATCTTTTTGATCCCAATCTCCTTTTGCAAGGAGCACTTTATAGGACCAGTGTTCTTAGGAAGGAACATACTTTGGGACATGTGGCTATACAGTGCAATACTTACCTCTGCAAGGTGACAGCTAAAATGACAAGCAGCTTTTAAACATTAATTGCCCACCTGACATTTTATGCAGGGTATAAAAGAGAGGTCTCATATAGTCCCCTAGGAAGAGTGGGGTCATCATTGCCTTTTTCCACTTGCAGAGAACCTAGGTAATCATTAACTTTTAGTTGCTATGTATGTCTCACTCATACTCCTAGTCCTTATTTTCCCTGCCACAAATTTCCAGCAGAGCTTGAGTGGGATTTTTAAAAAAATATTAATTATACAGTTAGGCGTCATTTCCTATAAATGCATTGGGTTTTTGCAGTAGCATCTGGCAATAAATACTTTTGGGGGTGATGAGTTGGGGAGAGATACAGCAAGTATTATAGTAGCTAGTAAAATGTATGATGTTTTCCCTCTCACCATGCCCCTAAATGTATTTGTGTCCAACCCAAGTGAAACTGAAAAAAAAATAGTATGACTTAGTGGTGTCTGTAAACAGAATAAATTAAAATGTCACCTGATGTTTGGTTGTGAATATTTATTGGATCATTCCTCATTTGTTTTCTAGGCTCTAAGCCACTTCATCTGTGGCCTAGCTCGCTTGATGACAGAAGTGCTGTGAGTCACTGAGCCTTGTGCTGTATTGGACCCTGCCTAGGTCCAATAGGTCCAATGGCTGCCTGCCCTTATTACAAGGGACAGGGCACAATTAGTCTGCTTTGTGGTGGTCAAAGAAGTACGCACTGAAAGGATAAGTTAGCATTTCCCTAAATATATTCCTGGAGCACTGATCCCTGAGATGTCTCCTGAAAAAAGTGTTCCCTGGCTAATTAAATTTGGGGAAAGCTATGTACTTATCTTCCTATTGCAGATTCTTAATGAATTTCAGTGTAGCCGAAGCTCTGTATATGCCTGTAGGAAGGAAATCTGTCTTTCACAGACCCCCTTCTCACCCTTTTTTTTTTCTTTTTTTGCATAGCTTTGGAATGTACTGGAATGTGTTTATTTTGATCCTACTAGATGCCTGCTGAGCTACCAAATAAGTACATATCATGGCCCCTGCCCTCTTGTTGAGGGGGCTAAGATTTGAGTTTGTCAAGTCAGGAAGTGTCCTAAAAAGCAGAGTTGTGAGCTGAACACCCAGAGACCAGCTATACACCCGAGTTGTGAAACAGAATTGATTCTTTCTGTGTGATTATGCTCTATTTTTTTACTTTACATAAGTAATATTTTTATGTTAAGCCATATTTATCATCGAAAATTAGAAAATGCAGATAAG